AGGGAACCCAAGGAGGTTGCCCCATGGAGATGTTTAATCCCTCTGGACACTGGTGGAATCACTGGTAAGATTTCTAGTGTCATAATATGTGTGTATGTGTTTAGTAAGAAAGAGCCCTTATCTTTTGTAGTGTGGAAATAAATGAAGACCAACCCCCACCCAAAATGAGACAAGCCAAGGCTATTTGTCAGAGTTTGCTGTGGTGAGGGAGTTGGCCACCATTGTCCATGGATGGCAAAATCAAAGGCAGGCAAGGAGTGGAAAGCTTCTAGAGGAGAAAGAAAGACTCTGGGTGTACCCTGTGGAGGCTGCTGGCCGGGGAACCTGGAGGCAGCCCCTTAGAAGGGCATCCTATGGGATCAGGTGGGAGAACGTCTGGATTTCTTTGAGTGGTCCTAAATTAGAAGCAGAGAAAAAGATTTGAGACATTGGTAGTTATTAATCACGTCCCAGCCACGTGGGTTTGTTTGTTACAGGGGTTATTGTTTGGCTTCCTGGACTGTTGATGGAGATGGCCGTCTGACTTCCTGCAAGTCTAACTTATAGCAGGTGACTTCCTGGCCTGGTTATCGAAGGTAATGAGCTGGCTTCCTGGGCGGGTTGCTACAGGCTGTAGGTCACAGTTTTTATTTAAGGTCTGGTTATTGTCACCCTGAATACAGAATTCAGTCTCTCAGTAGATATGGACTAAAACATCTATGGTCTCAAACTCCTGGCCTCAAGTGATCCTCCTATCTCAGCCTCCCAAAACACTGGGATTACAGGTGTGAGTCACAGTGCCCAACCTGGATAAAACATTTATGAGTGAAACAAAATGTGAAACGCTGTCTGGGTTTGCTTTACTTTATTTTATTTTATTTTTTGAGTTGGAGTCTCACTCTGTCTCCCAGGCTGGAGTGCACTGGCATGCTCATGGCCATCACAGACTCAACCTGCTGGGCTCAAGTGATCCCTCCACTTCAGCCTTCCCAGTACCTGGAACTACAGGCATGCGCCACCACACCCAGCTAATTCTTTTATTTATTGTAGAGATGAGGTCTCACCAAATTACCAGGGCTGATCTCGATCCTATGGGCTCAGGCAATCCTCTCGCCTCGGCCTCCCAAAGTGCCGGGATTATAGGTGTGAGCCATTGCGCCCAGCCTCTAGGTTTGCTTTAAAATAACCCAGGGACAGAGGGAGTAGGTGAGGGTACAATATGAAACTAGCCTGTCATGAGCTGGTATAGGCTGAAGCAGGTGATGACTCCATGGGGCATCTCACTGCTTTTGATCATCTTTATACTATTTCATAACAATTAAAAACAAACAAAAGTGCAATTTGCTATCTCTGACCACCTTAGGTCCCCAGCATCCTGTGGACTACCCCTGGCCCTGTGGATACAGTGACACTTTGATTCCAGTCCCTTCCATGTCCTGAAACATCACAGTGGGTCCTTCAGGAAGGCTTGGCTTAGCACGATTATGGTTACAGCTCCACAGAGCCCCTACCTCTTGCAGCCTGTGCCTAGGACTTAGTAGGTGCTCAGAATTGATCTAAATGAATTAGTACACCAGGCCACCAACCAACTGATTGAAGGAAGGCTCCTAGCTCCCAAGCCCTGGCTTGTGCTTAGCTTCATGGGACTGCCAGTGTCCCCACTGGCTGGAAGCTCCTGGGGCATGAAAAGGACACGTCTTTGGCTCTCCTGTGGTACCACGGAACACTGCATGGCACGCAGTAGGTCATTAGGAAGTACTTCAGAAACTACTAGGAAAAGTCTAAAATGGAGATGCATTGGTTAACGCCAGCAATGTAGAAGAGTTCTGCTTAGGAGGGCAGAGCCAAGGTTAGAAGGAGAAAATCAGGTATTTGTAGGTATCATTTCTACTTGTAAAAACAGCCATAAAGATTCCCAATCAGCAGGCAACTTAAAGAGTATATTTAATGAGAGGCCTCATCTGGCAGGTGCCGTCTGCAGACAAGGCCATGCACAGTTGAGCCTGACATGCACCCACGTCACTGTTCAGAACCTTTTACTTGATGAGGCCTGATGTCCCTGTGTTTTGGAAACAACGAGCCCAGCAAGACACCCTTGAAATCACCTCAGTGTGATCTGAATATGTTAGTAATGAGTGTAAATGAAAGCCAGGAGGAATTTCCTCAAATTCCCTCCTCTCTGTTGAATTTTATAAACCTAATAAAAGCCTCTTTATTCTAGAAACAAGCCTTGTCCCGAAAAGCTCATCTTCTGCAGAACATGAGAGAACCACTCTTTCTAAAACCATATTCCCACCTCTAAAGGCTGGTGACCCCAGAGCTGGTAACTGCATGCTCTGACTCCTGCAAGACTGTGGGACCGGTGGGGACTGACACACCAGGGGACAGCTGACCTTGCTAGGCAAGGCGCTTCTTCTCTATCCAGTTGTTGTTATAGGTAAACTCAGGGCTGGGGGTCTGCCTGAGTCATACCCACCACCTCTGAGAACTGCAGACACAAGAATGGGGTCGCAGTCACAAGTGGCCCGGGGCATGGCCAAGCCAGAAGGGAGGAGGAGGAGGAAGAGGAGGAAATGGCAGCGAATGGAAACAAGAGAGGAGGCAGCTTAGGGAGACGGAGAGAGGCCACGGCCCTGATGCCTGGCTTCTGGGCCAAGAAGCAGGCCACTGCTTCCACCCAGGTCCTGGGAGTCCTATGTCCCCCTTCAGGGCAGCCTGGTGGATTCCTGCTACTTGACCCCAAGGGTTGGCCATGAGAGTTGCCCCTTCAACCACCATTCACTGGTGGCCCATGAGGCCTGGAAACTCACTTCCAGGTTGTTGGAGGAACCGTGTCCACACAACCATGTGGTAAAGACCTCGCCTGTTGAATGAGGACAAAGATAGGATGAACCGGCTCTCGGTCACAACCCTGTTGAGACCAGTGGGAGACCCTGAGTTCTCACCCTGGGGGGGCCTGGACAAACCATTACACAAAAGCAGCCCCTGTTTAGGGCCTCAGGGAAGGGCATGCCAGGTCCCCACCTCCACCCCAGTGGAGCAGGCCCCCAACGCTTTCACTGCCCCACTTGAATTTGTCAAATGTTTGGTAACTGTCTTTATCTGTTGTGCTCAACTTTTATCTGCATTACTGAGAAAAAGAAAGTTTCCTTTGGCATGGTAAGTGACTGAAGTTTTAAAGTTTGGCATGAAGGTGCTGTCACAAGTGTTTCCACGTCACAGGGTGAGGGTAAACACAGCTGGCTGGGTGTGACTGGCATTTAACTCATCAGCTGATGTGCATGCAGCATCTTGATACTCCTGATTTTAAGCAACAGAGGGCTGAAGGGGTCCAGTGGTGACCCTGCTCACATTGGCAGGCCTCGGCCCTGTCTGCAGGCCTCGAGATGACAAGGCAGGGCAGGCTTGCGAAGCACCAGCACACACTTGGTGCCCAACACAAGGGTCCTACTGTTCTCAGCTGTCTTGCCCCACAACCAAGAGAAATCCTGGGTCTCAGGGAAGCATGCCCAAAAGGACACATGCCTGCTCATCGCCAGAGGGAGTTTTTTAAATTAAAAAAAAAAAATTTGTGGTTTAATTAGAGACACGGGCTTCAGTCTATCACTCAGGCTACAGTGCAGTGGTGCAATCATGGCTCAACTCCTGGGCATAAAGTGATTCTCCCACCTCAGCCTCTTAAGTAGCTGGGACTACAAGGGCATACACACTACTACAAGCAGCCAAAGGGAATTTTGAAGAAATATTTCAAGTTTCCATTTGTAGTAGAGAGAAATAATGGGTCGAGCATGGTGGCTCACTCCTGTAATTCCAGCACTTTGGGAAGTGGAGGAGGGAGGACCTCTAGAGCCCAGGAGTTCAAGATCAGTCTGGGCAACACAGCAAGACCTCATCTCTACTAAAATTAGAAATAATTACCTGGTCTGGTGGTATGCACCTATTGTACCAGCTACTTGGGAGAATGAGGTGAGAGGACTGTTTGAACACAGGAGTCAGAGGATGAAGTGAGCTGTGATCATGGCACTGCACTCCAGCCTGGGTTGACAGAGTAAGACCCTGCCTCTAAAAAACAAACAAACAAAACAAATAAAGACGAGAGAACTAATGTGATCAAGCCCTACATTTTCCTTTAAAAGATTTTGTTCAAATACAGAACTAGAGGGATTTTAGAAGCAGAACACCCACTCCTCCTGGGATGCACCCTCACATGTGTGACAGGGACATAGATGGGGCACTGCCTGGACCAGAGGGCAGGCACTACGGTAGGGCACCCAGGAAATGGGAAGGAAATGCCCCTGAGGTACAGGGCACAGGGACTTTCCACTCTGGAGACAGCTGGACACTGCCCTTTCAACTCCCAGCTCAGCCCTGCATAGCCTGACACAGGCCTCCAGGGACAGGCTTTGCAGGCCCTGCCTCTGCGCCCTTTACTTGGCTAACCCTAAGAGGAAGAGGAGTAAGCCTGGGTCATTCCATTTGGACAAAACAGCCTCCCTCGCTCTCCCTCGCTCTCTCAAGAAATGATCCTTTCTTACCACAAAACCTCCCCTCAGTACCCACCAGGATATGGGCCTAGCCAAGAATTCTTGAGGCCGTGCATGGTGGCTCAAGTCTGTAATCCCAGCACTTTGGGAGGCCGAGGTGAGAGGCTGGGCAACTTGGTAAGACCTCGCCTCTGCAATATATCAAAAAATTAGCCAGATGTGGTAGCGCCCTGTAGTTCCAGCTATTTATAAGGTTGACACTAAAGGATCACCTGACCCCACTGGGTTGATGCTGGGGTGGCTGTGAGTGTGCCACTGTACTCCAGCCTGGGTGACAGAGTAAGACTCTGCCTCAAAAAAACAAAAAAAGAATTCTCTTCTCCCTTCTATCACATCTGGTCTGAATCTCATCTTGCCCCAGCATTTTCCTTTACAGAATCCAAAATGAAATGGGAACTAGCCAAGCAATGATGAGAGGGAGGTAGAGAGGTGAGCATTGACACTCTGTCCTTGCCCCTGCCCCGGGACCCATCCTACCTTGGTTTTCTGATAATGCTTCCTGGTTTCAGCAGCCATAGAGGAAAATTGTCTTAATACCAAATTTTCCATGCTGAGGAGATTGCTATTCAGATGTTTGCAAAGCCACATTGCCTGAGAAAGGAAGGAAGAAGAAAGATTTTTAGTAAAAACAAGAACTATAACAATAGCTCCATTAAATGCCCCAGTCCTTCCCTATTCTACTAGAAAAAGTTGGCCATGGGAAAGCAGAATTCTTCCTGGCTAGAGGAAGGCCACCAAGGCAGACAAACCCACAAAGTATTCCCAGCCCAAGAATCTTGGTTGTATCTATTTCTTCTTCAACCAGCACTGATCTTCATGGAGCTGGAAAACCCAAGTGAGCTATGCTTTTAGCTGCCCTTGACATGCCTTTTCAAGCCCTGTGGACACAAGTTTTTAATGCAAGGAAAGTCAAGGACAAGAATTGTGGGAACAGGAGCTAAATATGGATCACAATCCACGCTCAATATTCATCTTGTCTTAAAGATTGAGAGATGACATATTCCAGTTAACTGAATGGTTAGTTCATTGATGACTACTTTATATAGTTTACAAGGGAAGAATACATTTTAAGGAAAAATGCAATAAAAAGTTCTTAACACCAAAATTATGTTGATGACCATCTCAGCATTGGGAAGATTCTGAAAGCCCTTCCCGGTCTCCCGGAATTCTTTCTGTTCTTCCTACTGGGAAATATCAGCAACAATATCAGGAATGAGCCCTTCTGAGCTCTCTGTTTGGATTTTACTATATAACATCTTATCATTGTAAAATGTGATCTGTGTGTCTCCACAGAGCGCTCAGGGACAAGGACAGTAAATCACCAAAAGGCTTGTTGCTGAAACACCAGCTGACAGCTGTCAGGGCCTGGCCTGATCAGGGAGGACACACTCAATCACTTCAGCCAAGCTGGACTTGTTGAAAACAATCTGAGCTCTCAATCTGTTTCCCCAGAAAACTCCTACCAATAACCAGAGAAGCACTAGAATTGGGAACTAGCACTAGAAGAACTAGAACTAGGAATGAAACACAGACGGCCCCAGAATGTCAAATGTCAAAGACAAAGGTTCACCCTCATGTTGAATGACCAGACTCTTCTTGAAGACCTAGCTCAACAAGCTTGTTTGTCTAAATGCAGACTCTGTCATCTTCATTCCCAAAGTCAAAATTACCCAGGGATATTTGTCAACTATGAGTTGTCTGGGCCCTGCCCCAGGAGATTTTGAGGAGGTCAGTCTACGGGGCAGTCCAGGAACCTGTATTTTTCAAGGCACCCTGGACATGCTAATGATGGGTGGGTCTGGGAGTCCCTGGTTTCAGTAAAACAGTGAGAGTGGTTGGGTTCAAGGGTTGACTGCAGAAAGGCTTGGAAGCTGACAGCCTGGTACTGAGGAAAACTAGAGAGATAGAAGGAAGGATAGATGGATGGATGAATGACAGATGAGTAAGACAGTTATGCTAACTCCAAAAGCATAGCAGACGCAGGTACATTTATATGAGGATCAGTCAACTTGATTCCTTTTTGGAAGAAAGCTAGGGGGAGCAGCCTGCCCTTCATACCACCCATGATACCTGCTCATAGCAATGACTCAGTTATGGAGGAAGGGCTCTCCCATGTTCACTAACCAGGCTTCTAAAAGGCAGAGAGGGCTTCATCTCAGATGACTGAAAAACAATTTTTTTAGATTAAAAATATAGTTTATTTAAGAGTAAATTAGAGAGAAAAAGAGAAGGGAGAGGGAAGATTCACCACCCCAAGGTGGGGGAGGGGGCCAAAGCCAGGAAGCAGGGCGACAGCCATAGCTCAAAGAGCACATGGCCACACCAGAGTCTAAAAAGGCAATAGCCAGATGACTGAAATTGTAACACGTTTTTGGCACTTAAAAATGGACCTTAAAGCTGGGCATGGTGGCTCACACCTGTAATCCCAGCACTTTGGGAGGTTGAGGCGAGAGGACTGTCTGAGTCCGGGAGTTCGAGACCAGCCTGGGCAACTTGGTGAGACCTCATCTCTACAATAAGTCAAAAAATTAGCTGGGTGTGGTGGCATGCACCTCTAGTTTCAGCTGCTTGAAAGGCTGAGGTGGAAGGATCACCTGAACCCAGCAGGTCGAGGCTGCAGTGGCCCTGATCGTGCCACTGCATTCCAGCCTGGGCAACAGAGTGAGACTTTGACCCCCCCAAAAAAAAAAAAAAAAAAAAAAATGGACCTTAAAGACTGAAGCCATGAATGGAAAACAGGACATCAGCTTCCAGACAGTGTTGCCTCCAGGGAGGGAGAGACAAAAAGGGTGAGCAAAATGGGTCCAGGTTGTTGGATTTTCTTTAAATGAAGGGAGAACAAAGCAAATATGGCAAAATGTTACATGTGTGTAAAATCTGGGAGTTGGGTAGATGAATGTCTATGATATAGTCCTTGTGCCTTTCTGATTGTTTGAAATAGCTCATAATTAAAATGTTAAGAGTGAGGCCAGGTGCGGTGGCTCATGCCTATAATTCCAGCACTCTGGGAGGCTGAGGTGAGAGGATTGCCTGAGCCCATGGGTTGGAGACCAGCCTGGGCAAACTTGGCAAGACCTCATCGCTACAATAAATAAAAAAATTAGTCAGGAATGGTGGTGTGTCCCTGTAGTTTTGGCTACTTGGAAGACTGAGGCGGAAGGATCACCCGAGCCCAGCAGATTGAGGCTGTGGTGCCGTGAGCGAGCCACTGTACTCCAGCCTTGGTAACAGAGGGAGACTCTAACTCAAAAAATATATATATATTAGGAGTGAATTATTAAGATTCCATACTAAAGTCTATGAAAGATGTGTGCTGTTTGACCTGACATTTATAGTTCTAGAAATTTAACCTAAGATATAATTAATAGTGTGCCAAGATCACGTATATGCAGGTATGAAAAAACCCTGGAAGGTGTACCCAAGGATGTTAAAGTAATGCTTATCTCTGGCTGGTTGGGGAATTATATTTTTGGTTTTTTGCATTTCTAGGTTTTCTCCTATGGACACACACTCCCGTTTGTAAGAAGAAGATAATGAGAAAGAAAGCACAGTTATGCTACAAATTCAGAGGCACAGTCTCATTCCGGCTCTGGAGGATAAATGAGATATTACAGCATGACAATACTTAACATGATACACTTACTATAGTTGTTTTCCCCGAGGCGGGTGGACCTAATATTACAATCTTCGGCACTGTGGAATAAAAAAATTTGAATGTCACCACTCAGTATGACAAAGTAGCCTCCCATGTCTGCGGTACTCAGGGTGTACTTATTTCTTTCCTCCCAGATTTCATTTTCTGCCAGTGGCATGGCCATTTGTAACCCAGTGTCTCAGAGACGCTCTTGCCATGGAACACATTCTCTGTGTTTAGAGAGGTAAGTGATCACTGAGATGGTTTACTCTTCTATTTCCAAGGGGACGTGGACAGGGTAACTTGTTTGCCAAACTAATAAATATCAACAACAATTGGGATTTCAAACACCATAAAGCATTTTAAACAGGGACTTTGTTTCAGGGACACTCTCTCAAACAAAGCAGTATTTTATGTAAATTGACCTTCAAAGCTTTTTTTATGTTTATGCCTTTTTATTTAGCAAATTGTATTCCCCATCATTTCACAGAAGCAAGTGATAGGGAAAGCCTAGGTTGTCTGGCCCAGATTTATAAAACCCAAGAAAGGAGAGTCTTTGTTTTAAAATATGGACATTTCTATGCAAATGAAAAAAACTGGCAGCTTGTTATAGTCCTGGCTCTAAAATGTTCTTGGTCCCACATAATTCTTAGAGCAGCTACTAGACTCCTGAGTGGGTGCTGGCAACTGGAAAAAGATAACCGCCATCTTTTTGGAGTTGGAAGGTATGCGCACTTGGGTTGCAGCAAAGGAAATTGGTGTGGTGTCTGGTGTGGACAGAATCTGTGCTAATTGCCCGCTGAATGCCATCTTATGTCACTTCCCTCACTACTTATAGGGAGCAGGCAACCTTAGCCTGGCCCCTGACCCAAGGAGACAATTGGAACAGTTCACTCCAGTTTGCATAAGCTTCAAGGTCTATATTGTAGAGCTATTCCTACCAGGACACCGGACAGAAGTCTTATCCGAGTACAGGAGGGAGGTGTGTGGCCTTCTAGTTTGGGGACAGAGACAGTGTCCTTCCAGCTGAACGATTTAATGATCAGCATATCTACACCCAGTCTGGATGCTCTGATTTAAAGAGATCTTTGCCCAAACTCATGGCATTTCTCACTTTTGGAGAAAGAGTTCAAGGATCATGGTTCCTGGCGACAAGTTAGTGAGAAGTGCATCAGGTGAGAACTGCAAGTGAGTCTGTCATTCTCTTTGCCCCAGTCTTTGGCAAGGGAAATGCTCTCTCCTCAAGGATACGAAGGGTTGGACACACGCATCCTGGCTTTCTGCTGCTTCTTTGGACTTATAAAATGTCCCTAACTGCTTTAGGGTCCCTGTTGTTTTCTACATTCCGTACATTTATCGATGTGATCCACCAGCCACCGGCTATGTGAAACATAGGTAACATGCTTCTTCAAAGCCCACTGCCCTTACTGTTGGCATGATGGAGCCAAGGGGCATCGCAGGCAGGAGGCCCTGGAGAAAGCAGTCCCAGAGACCCTCCTCCAGCCTGAGAAAACCATAGTGGACACTTTTCTCTTCAAGTCAGGTTTGGACTAGGGTGCTTCCTGCCCACCACAGTGTGGCGGACACAGCTCCCTTATTCTTCTGGCCAAAGGTCTCTGTATCCCTTTAAATCCCTTTGGACCCTAAGAGGTACAGCCTCCACAGAAGACTGGGAGGTGTCCTGGTCACCCTAACAGCCTCCTCCTTCAGAGTCCCTTCCAGCTGGGGGTCTGGGGAATCACCCCAGACAACCCTCCCTGCTCTAGGAAGCCTTGGCCTTTCTCACCCTTTCTGTGGCTGTACTTCTGCCTGCCTCACCTCCTGCCACTTCCCAACAGGAACAGCTTCCTCACCCCAATGTACCCAGCTCTCCCCAGGCTCCCACTATCTCTTCAATCTCTGAGACTCTTGCTCTCACACCCTTTGGAGGTTCATGATAAGTGGGTTCCATTGCTGCCTTCCAGCTCAGTGAGTTTCACCCCACTGCTAGAAGCTGGCAGTGTTGCTGTTCCCCACGGCATGGCAAGCTCCCCAGGGCAGGGACCAAGGCTCTTTCTCCTGTGCTGTCCCTGCGGCAGCCAGAACTGCGAGGAGCCCCACACATAGTGGCCTTCGGGGTGGCTTCTTCGGCTTTCCCCGTCTCCTTCTGTGGTCACTGAGTGTTGGTCACCATTACTGCTGTCTTACAAAGGGCTCCTCTGCCAGTCAGCATTCTTGAGTATAAGCTGCAGGAACCAGATGTGACTGAGTTAAGAAGAGAAGGGGTTTATTCCAAGACAGTGTGGCTCATGGACTCCTGCACAGGCCGGGGAGCCAGGCCCAGGGCTAACTCACCAGGAACCATACAAGTAAGGCCATCAAGTGGGAAGCCTGTGTGATGCCACTGACATATGTGGGCCATGGAGCTGCCATCAACCCTGCTGCCCTTCCACCCAGAAACCAAGCCCCATATTGCTGCCAGGGGAGTTCCCAGGCTACAACCCAGGGTCTGGGCTCACCTGGCTAGTGAAGCGCAGATCACAGGCTCAGGCCCTGGCCGTCATGGGGAAGCATTTCCAGTTTTAGGAGCGGGAGCCAGGGCAGGGATCCAGCAGCCTATTTTTTGCTCTAGGCCTGTAACCTGAAGCAAAGCCTTCCAGGGCCTGCCTCCTGGGCGAGAGAAGCCACAGCAGGTGAGAACACAGCTTGCAGGACAAGTCTGGAAATGACTTGGAGTCACGTGGTGAGGTGGGAGTATGAGGTGAGGTCAGAGCCGAGGTGCCTGGGGAGGTTTAGGGGGAGGGGCTGCAGGGAAGGTGGCCAAGGGTGGAGGGGCCTCATGCCACATGGCAGAGGGCTCGCTAGGGCCATGGGGGGAGCACCTGCCTTGCCAAAGCCAGGCAAGGAAGCAGAGGGGAACCTGGGGCCCCTCGTGCAGCCCTCCCTCGCCTGCCACCCCTCCAGGGCTCTGACCACAAGCCCCCTGAAGTTCCTGGGAGCACAGACCAAACTCGACTGGGCTCCAGAAGCCTGAGGGGATGGGCACCCTGGCTCGACAAGGGCATTTGGGAAAGGAATCTGACTCCCGAGGTACACCACTGTCTTGACAGTTACCAGGCTGGAAGGCTGCTGTGGAAACCCCCCTTCCGGGTTCCTGTAAGTGGCACCCAAATTGTACACATCTAGGAAAATACTTTAAAAGGGGAACATCCACGGCCTTTCTCCCACCTAATTTCTTGCACACATTTATGTGATTAATTTCAGTTTCTTGAAATCTAACACCTTGAAACTCCAGCCCTGCTCATGAGTAATTATTTATAAACAGTGTCATAAAAGGCTGCTTGGCTGCCAAGAGTAATCAACTTCTTCCAACCACTTCAAAGGAAATCAAAAAACCTTTCCATCCACAGATCCTTTTGAGGTTTAACTAGGAGCGTGATTTAAAATTCACAAGAAAACCCTTAGGTATTGGAGCTCTAATACACAGCTTTCTTGGACAAACGTTTGATAAAAAACGAAACATACCATTATATACACCATCGTCTGCTTTAATATTGCCCAGGGCTACTGTAAATGCTCACTTTGTACTAAATCTGCTTTTCTCATGGCGAAGGGGCTGCCAGCCCATGTGCTGGGGCTCCCTTCGCTCCCGAGTGCACTCGCTCACCAGGATGAGTCCACAGCCCTCTCTCCCTCTACACCAGTCTCCGACCATGTCACCGTGTGTCCTGGTTAACTCCGTGCCCAGTAAGAGGAAGGGGTGAGGTCCTGGCTCTCGTTAGCACAGGTGGCGGCATGGCTGGAAGGGGCCTGACCATCTGATGCACTAGCTCAGGGGAACAGAACACTCGCTGGGTATCCCGGGACCCCTCCAAGCTTCTTGCACTCTTCCAGAACGTAGAAGGTCTGGGCTTAACGATTCCAGGCTTCTCCCCATCCCTAGAAAAGTCCCCATCCCTAGAAAAGTCACAAAAGCAAGGTGGACTCCCCTGCCATCCCACTCTTTCCCGTTTTTGCTTTGCTTGTCTGTGGAGGCTTGGGCAAGGGAAAGGATAGTCCACCAATAATCCCAACAAAGTCTTACTGATGTCCCTCTCTTCATTTCAGTTATTGGGACTTGAGCCAAAAAACAAAGCGGTCCCAACATCAAGAAAGCTGCTGACCAAGGCCTGGGAGTGGGGGCTGGAAGGCCATGGGAAACAAATGAACTCCCTGAAAGAGTAGTTATTGAGATCCAAGGGCTCTACTCGCTGAGAGAGCGTCTGGGCCAAAAAGCTTGACTCTGGCTATTCGCCCAGCCCTCAACTAGAAAGAAACGAGGGAGGTCTGGATGCTCGGGTCCTGCCTGAGAGCCAGCAAACATGGAGAACGCAGTGGCAGCTTCACAGGGGTGCAGGATCTGGAAAGCCCTGAGACCTCAAAATGAAGGGAAAGTGCACCAAAGAGATACAAGGAGGGAACAGAGGAAGGAGGCGGCAGAGGTGCGGCCAGCTGACATCAGCAGCACTGCATCCAAACCGGAAAGACGATGTTTAAATTTTAACATCCTGATGAAGCGGATCGTTTGACATTGAAAATTAAATCTGTACACAGAGGAGCAAGATCAAAACATAAAGAGAAGATGAAATCTGCCTCAAATTGCAGGCTCTTGAATTTCTAGGCTAAGCCTTGAAGTTAGTAGTTTAAGTACACAGGCCAGGCATGGTGACTCATGCCCGTAATCCTAGCACTTTAGGAGGGCGAGGCAGGAGGATAACTTGAGGCCAGGAGTTCAAGACCAACCTGGGCAACATAGCAAGATCCCATTTCTAAAAAAAAAAAAAAAAAAAAAAAATTAACAAATAAAAGAGCACAACACATGGCACACATGCCCCAAGCAGTATTTTCAAGCTAACAGTAGAAACTACCAGTGAAACCTAATTTATCAGAGTTCAAATGGTTATGTGTAGTTATCAAGCAAAATTATTATTATTGTTTTTTAGAGACAGAATCTCGTCTGTTGCCCAGGCTGGAGTACAGTGTGATAGTGTGATCATAGCTCACTGCGGCCTCGAGCTCCTGGGCTCAAGTGATTGTACTGCCTCAGCCTCCTGAGTAGTTGGGACTGCAAGTGTGAGCCACCATGCTATGCTTCCACACAGTTTTTAAATTTAGAAAAACCTCATTAAGTTATTCACAAGTGGAAGCGCAACATCACATCCCCTGATGTCCCCAACCCATGAGAGTGTCAGGGGTTTGCTGTCCTTTCAGCAACCGTGGACCAGGCCGGGGCTTGACGGCCTCCATCTAGGTTAACCAAACACCCCCATTTTATAAATGAGAAAGTGGAGGTTAGAGAGAGCAGCATCCTCTCACCATCTCTTCACATTTTGAGGGAGGCGGTTTGAAGATCAGTGAGCAGAAGGACCCCTGGCGGTGGGGGGCAGGACGGAGCACTGCATGGCAGCTTCTGCTCACACCAGATGGACTTTTAATTTTGCTTCACTTTGGTTTTACTTTCCTTTTACCTTAGCTTTTGCTTTGCTTTCCCTTTGTTGCCTGTTATTTCTTTGGTGGTGGCATAAGAGAGTCACTTGCGGGCAGAGATGCTGAGGGCTGTCCTGGAATAACAGAGTTTAAAGACAAGTGCAGTGGCTCAGTCATGGCTGTAATCCCAGCCCTTTGGGAGACTGAGGCAAGAGGATCACTTGAGGTCAGGAACTCGAGACCAGCCTAGGCAACAAAGTGAGATCCCATCTCTACAAAAAAATAGGAAAAATTAGCTGGGCATGGTGATGCACGCCTGTGGTCCCAGCTACTTGGGAGGCTGAGGGAGGAGGATCACCTGAGCCCAGGAAGTTGAAGCTGCAGTGAGCCGTGATCGTGCCACTGCTCTCCAGTCTAGGTGACAGAGTGAAACCTTGTCTTAAAAACAAGGCGTGGTGGCTCAAGCCTGCAATCTCAGCACTTTGGGTGGCTGAGACAAGAGGACTGCCTGAACCCAGGGGTTTGAGACCAGCCTGGGCAACTTGGTGAGACCTCATCTCTATAATATATCAAAAGGAAATAATTAGCTGGGTGTGGTAGTGCACACCTGTAGTTCTGGCTACTTGGAAGGCTGAGGCAGAAGGATTGCCGGAGCCCAGCAGGTCGACGCTGGGGTGTCATGAGCGTGCCACTGCACTCCAGCCTGGGTGACAGAGTGAGACTCTGGCTCAAAAAAACAGAAAACACAAAAAATAGAGCTCAGCGACACATGAGCTCCCACCCACTTTGTGGGAAGGAGGAATGCAGAAACTTCCTCCTCTGGCGAATGGAGCCTGAGTCAGTGAGGCCTGGGGGGTCACTGTCTGCTGCGGTCAGGATCAGCCAGGAGGGAAGGGTGGGCTTAACAGTTACTGTAGAGCAGGAAAATCTGGAGGAGGCAGAACCTCCCTCCTGTGCCACATAATAACCACCAAGCAAAGAACACAGACTGCTGAGAAGTCACGTGGGGCAAAGTAAATTACACCAGGAAGGCTGGGCAGTGGGGGAGGCAAGCTGGACAGGTGGGGAAGGCGGTTCTCCTAGTCCACCCAGTCTCCACTCCCTGCCACTGGGGCATGTGGGCACTTGGGCAGCGTCAGCTAAATGAGGGCTACTGCTCAGTGCGTCGGCCCTTCATGCCTTAGCTAGAGGCTCAGAAAGGGGTTTGCTGGGGCTCTCTTTGAACCTGCCTGCTGAGGTCCGTGCGATGGCGTTGGGGTCCAAGAAGCCCCTTGCTCTGCAGCCAAGCCCAAGAAGGTATCAGGACCTCTGTGCCAGGCACGCAAAAAAGGCCTGGAGCCACCTCTCCCTTGTGTTTGTAAACTACTTAGCCTCATTTCTCACCCTGGGCCTTCTGAACCCATCACGGGGCATCTCAGGTCTCTGTCCTCCACAGCTGCACCAAGCACTAACTTTGCTGATGTGCTGGGACTCCTTCAAAGCGATTAATGCTCCCATGAAAGGAACACAAAAGCCCCAAGACGCCGGTTCTCCCTGACAGCTCACACAGGGCGGGAATGACCTCTGCCTGGCAAATCAACCGTGGAATGGAGCTAGGAGCCCTCCTCAAGCCAGCGCCTCCCTCCTCCCGGGTTCTGCGCTCTGGCCTTGCGTCTAGCCGACCTGTACTCATCAACTGCAAAGGTTTGAGGGGCTTGGAAACTCATTAGCGGGCGCTGATAATGAGACCATCAGAAAAGCCAAGTGCTTGCCTGTCTAGGTAGACCAGAAACCCAATTCACACCTGACAAGTGGAGTGATCAGAGAGCCTAAACCCAACAGGCGACATCAGCTAGGGCAGGCGAAGGCATTAATAATTGATTCCATGGGCCATTCGGAGGTTTTCATTTTAATAACTTGGCAAGAGGATTTTTATGAGTTGTGCTCCAAAAGAAATTAGGACATTTTTCAATTAACCACCACGGCAAATTGTCAAAACCCCTCCCTTCGGACCTCCCTTCAGACACAGGTAGGACAGAGTGGTTATCAGCTATGTTCAGGGTGGGGTAGGGTCCCTGTAGAGGAGGAGAAGGAGTAGGAGGGGGAAAAAGATGAGGGGGAGGAGGGAGAGAAGGAGGTGAAGGGTGGGGGGAGACCGACCCCGAGCACTCACCATTGTCATTGTCTAGATGCAAGTGCCGGATCATGAAAGGGATGGGGTCCTCCGGCTGGTGAATCAGGAGCTGCTCCAGCATGTTCTGTGGGCACAGGGCAGACAACCAGGTGGTTAACACCTGCCGGGTACCCTGGTCGTCATGGATACCAGCTATGGGGCCCACTGTCTCTGCTGCACCCCACCAAACATGCCTTCAGCTGGGGCCCCAGCCCCTGCCCCAGCTGGTGTCTGCTTGGGTCCTCATGAGGAGAGGCGTGAGAGGCCACGTGGGTGCTGCTGGAGAGGCACCCGGAGAGAGGCAGAGCTGGTGGTCCCAGGGCCCTTTCCCTGGGCCTTCGTGCTTCCTACACCTTCTTTTGGTCCTTATGCACTGTCCTTCCCCCTCAGGGCCTTAGCGAATGCCGTTCCCTCAGCTTGGAATGCTTATCCTCATCCTGGCTAACTTCTACTCACTGGGAATATGCTTTCTTGAGCACGTGCACTAGGTGAATCAGTCAGATGTTTCTGCAGCCACCCCTGTGTGTCCCCCTGTCCCTTGCCTCACCTTGTCCCTGCTCCCCCAACTGCCATCCCCCCAGCAAGCCCTGAGTTCTGTGGGCCTCACTGTCTGCCTGGAGCCCTTGGCACCCCAGTGTACCACAGTCACAGCGGGTGCCCAGTGCAGATGTTTCCTGGGGGACATGGCCATCACCGCTTCCTATGTCCTTCTAAATGGGACAGAATATTTACCAGTGAAATATCTAAAAAATCCTGGGCTATTCTGGCCATTTAATCCCACTGAACAAGCATATCAAGGGAAAGCAGCTTCTAGGGTTGCAGAGCAAAAGGCACGGAGGTAACTGGGTGGCTGATAACTGGGAGCTGTGCTGTGACAAAGGGGGCACCCTCCCCTGTAGGGACAAGCTGGGAGGGGCTTTAGCCCTCTGGGACAGAGAAAGCATGAGGCAGGAAAAAGCACTGAACTGCAAGAAGTCCTGGTTTTAGCCCCAGCTGCATTTCCCCAGCAAGTCCCTTCACTTTTCTGGGCCTCAAGTTTCTCCACCTGTTCAATGGCATGGCTGGATTAAATTGATGTTTGTATGTTGCAGGTGCAGTGGTGTGAAGTGATTTTAAACGATTCACATATATTTACTTTTAATTTATTTTTATTTTTTAGATTAGAAAATACAGTTTATTTAGAAAGTAAGGTAGAGAGAGAGGAGATTCACCTCCCCAAGGTAGGGTAGGGGGCCAAAGTTAGGAAACATGACCTGGCCATAGCTCAAAGAGCACATGGCCACAAAAGAGTCTAGTAAAGCAATGGCCAATTTTTTTGTGTGTGTTGGAGTCTCACTCTGTCACCCAGACTGGAGGGTAGTGGCCGCTCCCAGCCACCGCAGCCTTGACCTGCTGGGCTCCAGAGATCCTTCTGCCTCAGCCTTCCAAGTAGCTGGAACTACAGGCGCGCGCTACCACGCCCGGCT